TATACCCACCACTTAACGATGAATTGCGGACAGAAGGAGGAGTCGAGTTTCGCCACATCATTACACACCGTACTAATGATGATACAGGGAAGTTGGAATACTTGGTGAGATGGCGCAAAGGCGACCCGACGTGGGAAACAGCGGAGGCTTTGGACGATGCCAACGATATCGCGGCCTACCACAAGGCCTCGCAGAAACGTAGATGTAAACGCCAACGTACCCAGACCTAACCTTTATCTTAGTAACATGACTACTCAGTAGGACGGTGCACTCGAGCCGTGGTAGCCCTCTAGCTCTCAAAGGTTAAATGCCAGCACACCGCTCTAGCCCTTAAAGGATAAATGCCAGCACACTGCTCTAGCTCTCAGAGGATAAATGCCAGCAACCAACTTACTATGGGTATTCCTTATAATCTCTAAAACTGGCACACTTCTATTCGGTAAGTGAATCAGTTTGGGGGGGATGTGGTCGGAATACACTAGGTAGAGTTAAACTTAGGTTTATGAGAGTTTATTACAGTTTATTACAGTTTATTACAGTTTATCAGAATGTTCCGATGAACTTAGCTTTTGCCGATTGCTAGAATCAGAACATGACTCATGACTCATAATTAGAGGAGTCATGATTTTTACGATTACTAATAAAAGAACAACGTCTCCCTCTCTATTGAGGGAGAACGTTGAGATACAGTTATCTTAGCGTACACTTACTACAAGGCAAGGCTCGTCGCCAATACTACTATCGACATATAAGGGGAGAACTTTCCACCACGGACCGGGACAAGCCATCCCATGATAGCTTTACCCATTGCCGCGAACACACCCCAATCCGCCTTTATGCCATGTAGCAACCAACACGATACTGTTCAAATTGCTTGACTATCGCACTGGTGGATGTCTCTGTCCTGTGTGCCCTAGAGATAAGACTTTTACGTCCAGCCACTTTGTATGTATCAGTTCTCTAATAAGGCGTATTCTGGTGGGCCCTCGGCATGGTTACCACGGCATATGGACTTTCCACGAACATCTCAGGAGCTTCCTTCTCCATGTATAACAGGCGCCAATTTATCCCCATTCAGTACTAGTCGATACATTGATGTTCCCCATACCCCATCTCATTCTTTCTTCTGGTACCAACTTCCCGCTATGGCTAGCCAGGATATTCTAAATACATCAGTTGTGTGGTGTGGTATCGGACAGCCCCCAACTTCGCTCCGAAACAGAATTGCGGATGACAACCTCACCCTCCTTGGTATCACGTTCAAAATATCTCAGGCCGACTCAGCCCATATTACCACTACAAGTGTCGGCCAGCTTTATTCCTCGCAATGGCACACCCGTTTTAGTTTTCATCCAATGGTATAAGTATTCTGTATCCATCGCCGCGAACTAACGCACCGTGTGTCTTCCATTGTTGCATCACTCGCCCCGAGCTTCTCGTGGCAGTTCGAAAATCTCAACTTTCCTTCAATTTTCCCAGAGCCTCTCCAACGAATATGAAGCCTGATGTACATGTAGACATAAAAACTTTATCTAAATTGAAATAAATAATACTATCCCTAACATACTTGTTGGCTAGTCACTTGGGAAACTCACTCATTTTGAGTAGTTTTCTATTTCTGGATCTGAATTTTATCCCCTTCATGAGATCTAATTAGAGTTAACTCACTCATAAAGCCACTGAATACAATACACTTATCGTGATCACTCTTATCACAGTTTTTATATAGCATTATTGTATAGCTCTAATAAGCATTGATTACCTCTGGTATCAATCTCTTGGGTTGTTGGGTGTGAACTGCGTTTCTGAGTTTGTGGAAATCTCGTATGTCAATGGGTCCATCCGCCATTGGTGCACATAGTTTGTCTATTAATATGCCTGTGATTACGCATTGCTCTCGTATATGTTCTTGTCAATGGACACGTCGAACTTACTCATTGATGGGTCGTATACTCCCTGGTGTGGACTCGTTGTCCAACTGCATCGCTCCTTCTGTCTCCATTACATGGAGTGGAGTTGCTTGATGATGATTGACATACTGGCATTGTGCGTGCTTGTTCTGGCCGAGTTCTGGTTGTACGGCTTATATTTCTTCTTGTGTGTGTGCGACTCGGGCTCACTCGTGTCTATACTCTTCCGTGCTGCTCGTGCCCTTTAGTAGGGAGCAGAAGTCATTGACTGTTCTGTGTGTTGAATATTCATTGTAGTACCAGGGTTCATGTTTACGTGGTCTGCATGTGTTGTATTAATCTGTCAAATTCTAGCTTTATGTTGGCCTTCGTTGTGGTGTCAGTGTAGGAGCAGCGTGTCGTTCCCTAGGCTTGATTAGCTCGCACTGACCTTTTCCTTTATATGGAGTGCTTATGGTTTTAACTATTAAACGTAGGTTTTATGTATGTTTATTTGGTGACTTCTTGTAAACTGGGTTGACTACTTGTCAACTTTGATTTGAGATTTCCAGTTTTGGTATCGCAGATGTGTCGCATGTCTAGGTACCGAACTTCAGTGTGTACGAAAGTTTGTGTTGTTTCTCACATATATATTTTTGAATAGTACCGAACTGTTTGTCTGTGTTACTTCCATGTATTTTGGATGTGTTTGTCGGTACCTTTCTTAATATTAAAGTCTAGTTCTCGAGCTCTGTCTTTATTACATATTACTCTTATATATGTATGTGGCGTGTTTGGTTGCTGCATCCTTGTATGCGTCATGCATGTGCTGTTGCTATAATTATAAGTTGTTCATTCAAAGGAACTATCTTGTTGTTACCTACTTCATGCGCGCGCATGTGTGTATGCGTTTAGTTGTTGTGGCATCCATGGATTTTAGATGTTTCTTGTACATACGTCTTATTCTGGTGCCTCGATGAAGTTTCGAGGGCGTGTGCTTGTTTGTCTGTATGTGATGTCGACCTCGACCTCTGCATGTTTTCCTTAATTGTTGGTAATGTATAAACTTGTACTTGCTTCTGAATACGTATATGTGTTCCATGACATGTGTCTATAGACATGTTGTACTTGTCGCAAGATGAATGGCAGTTAATGGATGGTATTTGTTAAAATGTGATTGCTACATCTATGTCGTGTCACATTAATGTGCTGTATTTGTGAATACCTCCCTCTTGAAGCCGTATTCTTTGAGACGAAATGTATAGTGGTATATTAAATTTGATGGTCAACCATCTATGGATTTTAGATGAATAATATTTGTGTCGGTCAAATTTTGAGTTTGCTGTTGTATACTTTGTTACCCATGCATGTGAGTATATACTAGGCGTATATGTATTTATAAATGATGTGTAAGTTGTACGTGTATCATCACCATCTATGAAGTTTAGATGGGCGATATTTGTGTGAACATGTGATACCCTTCTTCCTCACGTAATTTTAACAACTGTGATATGCCTGCTTCGTCTCTTATTTTCCGGATACATTGTTACACTAATAAATAGAATATCTATACTTCTTCCCTCTGTATGTTGGCAAATTGTCCCTATCTGTCCAGACATTCAGGTCAGTGTAGTTTGTGACATAAAATTTTATCAACCTGACAATTGTACATAGTGTGTTTATCCATAGATACACAATTTATATGTTTTTCTACGTTGGGCTATTTGCCACTTACTTGGTATTATTTCATTTTATCTTTGAAGTTAAAATAGGTGTAGTAATACTTGTTTGTTATAGGCTTACATGCGTAAAACTCGCTTCAGCAATGCACATCTCTTTTAAACCGTGTACAATTCGCAGTCTTTTACACCATAATTGATTACCATAATTATTCTTTGTCCCGTTATACATTACTTGCTTTATAAGACTTCGTGCGTTGAACTATGATTATTCTTTACAATTATGCGTTACTTCTATTCTTCAATTATACCTCCCTTGTATGCTAAGGCATGTGTTCACGAGGTGGATTTGTGTAGGCTGGCGCATTCCAGGAGCCTGTATACCGGATACATTAAATAATTTTCAAGTATTCAGATATTCCATTCGCTACCTGTACTTGCACTAGCTGTGCCGAACTGTCAACTGTTTTAGCACTTGCATTTCAGTGTGCCAACCTTGTTGTATGGTGTTATTACAGGTAACACTTTTGCAAAATCTTAGCGCCCCGACGTTGATGAACTTATCACAGGTAACACTTTTCACATCGGTTTACACGGGTATACCTAGGGTTGCTTACCTTCTGAGCTACCTGGTTAGTGGTGACACTTACCGTTGCATAACAACACAAGCACTTGTTGAATTATATTGGGGTACCTTTTGAGTGACCTTTGGTCTCTTTTCTCGTCTCTCGTAGAGGAGGCCTTTCTTCTTCTTCGTTTCTAGCAGTGTCCTCTTCCTCGTGAGAGAGCCTTCTGCTTGATGAAACCTTCTTCCTCTGTGATTATTGGCTGTATCCCAAATTCTTATGATGTATGTTCTAGTTTAGATATATTATTTGCTAGAGT